GCTGGACGAGCTGTTCGAGCAGGAGCGCAACGTGCGGGCGGCCATGACCAACCGTGCGGGGCTGCTGGCTCTGATGCTGCACCAAACCATCCAGCACGACCCTCTGACCACGGACCTGCGCTCGGACCGCTGACCACCACCACCCCCTCCTCCCCGGGACCCCCCAAAAACCCCCCAGACCCCCTCCCACATCCCCCACCCCTCACCCACGTTCCTGGCTCCTCCCCCATCCCTAAATAAACCGGGTGTGCAAAAGGAGTCTGGGGGCGTCTGTGGGATTTGTGGGATCCTGTGGGGGTCTCTGGGCTCCTGGGGGGGGTCTCTTTTGGAGGAATTTTGGGAGCTCCTGAGTTCTGGTACCAACCCCAGATCCTGCAGAGCCCATGGGGATCCCTTTGCTGGCCTTGGAGGTGGCTGGGGTGGGGGTCCTGAGAAGATTTGGGGGGGTCCTTAAAGGGCAAGGGAGGTGGAAATGGGAGCAGCATCCTTGGGGGGATTGAGGGGTCCCTGGCAGTTTTGGGGTTTCCTTTGGGGGGGAAATGGGAGCAACATCCCTGGGAGGATTGAGGGGGTTCCTGACGGTTTTGGGGAGTCCTTTGGAGGGGAAATGGGAGCAAGCAGCATCTTTGGAGGCCTTGAGGGGTCCCTGGCTGTTTTTAGGGGGTTCCGGGGGGTCCTGGGAGTGGGAGAAGGGTCCCAATAAGGCTGAGGGGAATGCTCAGGGCTCATTAGCATAACCACGCCCATTCATCGCTTTATTAGCATAACCCCGCCCCTACATCACGTGTCACGCCGTCACGTGCCCGCAGCTCCACGGGTCGCGTGACGCCCCGCCCGTCCCTGGCGATGTCTTTCCCCATTGGCCGAAGCCGCATCACGTGATCGAGAAACCCCGCCCCCTACTCTTCCCGCCCTGTATTTCCGCTTCCGGCGCGGGGCCACGCCCCCTCCGCCCCCCGCGGCCTCGCGGCGTCGCCGGAGGAAGAGGAGGAGGAAGAGGAGGAGGAAGAGGAAGAGCTGCGCCACAGGCGGGGGCGGATGGGAACGGTGAGGGGCTGGGGGTGTGCGGGAACGCGGCGGGGCACAGGGGTAGAGCGGGGAGCCTGAGGGATCCCAGCGGGGAGACGCGGCCGGTAGGGAAAAGGGGGGCGGTTGGGGAGGGTTTGTGAGGGGGAAGGGGCGTGAGGAAGGG